GCCAGGAAGGAGCGACAGACCTCTGGGAGAAATTGAGACGGGAATCCAAAAACCTCGATTTCCAAGGCAGCTTATTTGAACTGTGCGGCGGCGGCAGCGGGGGGGCAGCGACCCTCCTCCCGCCGGCCCTGCCCCTGCTCCTGGCGGCTCTGGGGGCCGCGCTAGTGACCTGGCTGCCTTTCTAGGGGGGGCGAGCACACCCACACCCACACCCTCTCCATGTGCTGGATCTATAGGGGAAGTGTCCATCCCTTGCTTTGGGGACGTTGTGCTTTTCTGTGGTTGATGATGATGATGATGGTGGTGGCTGATGATGGTGAAACACCCATGTAGGACTGTGGAAGCGTTCTCCTTTTTTTTTTTTTTCTTTTTTTTTTTTTTTTTTTTTTTCTGGTGTGTTTTATTTGCCAAATGTTACCAAACAGGCAGCGGCGCGCAGCCCAAATCGGACCTCAGCTTTACTATCGCTTCGAATCAAAAATAGAAGAAAAAAACAAACAAACAAACAAACAAACCCTACAAACTCGAGCCCTCGTTGTGCTAAAGCAATCTCAGGAACGGCGCTGGGCCACCTAATGCTAAGGTTGTAATCGGCCGGAGTATCTCCCGGCGGGCCACGGGCTCCCCCAAAAGTGTGGCGGTGTGTGAGGCAAGAACAAAAACGCAGACAAAAACAAAGGCACTGGCGATGAATCCAAGGTAGATGTCCACGTGTGAAGCATATGGTGAATAATTCACAATCTCTCATCTTTCCTCCACAGTCGCTTGTTTTTTGGTCATTCCACTGCAAAAAAAAAAAAAAAAAAAAAAAAAAAAAAGAACATTTTTCTGCAAGGGGAAAAGACAGCGAGCAAGCGAGGGAGAGAGGGAAACGAACAGTTAAGGAAGGAAAGAAGGAAAGAAAGAAGGAAAGAAGGAAGGAAGGGAAGAGTGAAAGAGATGTGTCTAAATGCCCGGAGGAGTGAAGGAATGCTGCTAACAGATCTCTGAGAGTTTACCTTTTCTTGCTGTTCGAAGGCATCTTTCCGAATTCACTGCCTTTAATTTTTTCCTCCTCTTTGTTTTAGATGTTACACATACCAGTAAAGTACCTGAATATCCAACCGTAGGGATCACAAAAAGGGGGCTTAAATGTAAACCTAAAGAAAAAAAATAATAAAAAACCCAACAAAAAAACAACAGCAAATGATTTTGAAAAAAAAAAAAAAAAAAGAGCCTTGATTTTAAAAGAGAAGCAAAATGTAATTTAAACGAAAGTTTATTATAAAGTCAATTCAGAAAAAAAAAAAAAAAGATTTGCTACAAACTATAGACAGAAGTATAAAATAAAAATTATTGTTTGAAATGAGGGTGTCGTCCTTTTTATAAAATGTCTAGAGTATATTGGAAAGCACAGGGCTTTGAAGGCAAGGAAGGCTAAATCCCGACCCGATCCCTTGATGAACGTGGCAATTTCAGTTCAAACAAGGACAGGGCGGCTGAATTGGTTAGTCGGAGCCTTCCTTTTTTTTTTTTTTTTTTTTTTTTGTCATTTCTTTCTTAAAAATATGCTCTAAATCCTCTCACCCCGCTCCTCCTCCTCCTCCTCCCGAAACCCCAAAACGCAGCACCCCCGCTTCCCAGCTGCGCGGAGCCGGCGCAGAGAACCCCGCGCGGGGCGGCGGAGGGCCCGCGGGAGCGGGCGCGGAGCGGCGCGGAGGAGCCGCGGAGGAGCGAGAGCAGCAACCACCATTAAGGAGGAGGCTGAGGAGCCGGAGCCGGGGCGCAGAGGAGCCCTTTCATAATTAATAAGGCAGCTCATCTGAAGGAGCAAGGGGAAGGGGGGGACGGGGTATTGATTTCGCAGCAGAAGCTGCTCTAACCTCGTCTATTTATAGACGTCTGATGCCTTTATAAAGAAATACACATCAAAGAGTAAACACGTCCTTTCTGCTTTTAAGGAGAGAGCCCAGCTGGCGACCGGGGGTGGGTGGGTGAGTGGGTGATGGGGAGGTAGGGGCCGCGAACTGGTTTGGGGTGATACATTCCGGTGGGGAGCCGTGGGCTGCGCAGGAGCTCTCCCTTGCCCATGTGTAGGGTGGCAGGGTCTCTCTTCCCTTTGCCCCCCTCGCCCTGCTCCCCTTCTTTCCCAAGGTCCGCAATGTAATGTGTAAGCAATAGCAAATGTAACAGTTCATAAATCAAACAGTGGGTCGCAAGCCAATCTGCATTTCCCAAACGGATTGAATCCCAGCAACGAATGAGCTCAGGAACCGGAGCCAGGCGCCTTTACCACTGGAAGCAATGTTGATTTTTTAATGATAAAATACATTATGCCTGTGTTGGGGGGGGGGGGGGGGGGAGAGGCTTTGCAGAGCTCAGTCGCCCTTCGGCAGACACAGGTCTGCTTGCATTTCTTTTCCCTCTGCCCTCCCTCTAGACACAGTTCCCACCACCACCAAAGAAAAAAGAAAACCCTGGAGAGCAGAGCTTTGTTTAAACGGTTTGGGTTAGTTTCCCTCCCCGCAGAGGATCTAGACCTAAATTGATTTTTTTTTTTTTTTTTTTTCTCCTGTGCACATCTCTGTATTCATGAGGTCAGGCGCTGCTGTTCCGATTTACCCTGTCGCGCGAAATGCCAGCTGCCGAGGGGAGAGAGACCCCTTCTTGGGGGTGCGAGGGGCTCCTCAGCCTGCCGTGGGGCCCCCCCTGGGCCTGCTCCCGCCGCCGCCCCCCTCCTCTCGGCTGCTGGACGGTGGGAAGGGGGAACCTCCCAGTTTTTCCTCACCCCTCGGAAGCAAGCCCAAACTCCGGAGTAAGAGAGCGGTTTCCTGCTCCTTAGTGGAGTCGAGTTATCTTCGCGTGAGGTTGGATTACTAATGGATAATCTCTCCGTAATTAGCACATCCCCACAGTTGAGGCGAATGATAAAAGAAGGGAAAAACAGCCGAGCGGGGCGGGGTGGTTGTCCGGGTCCCCCCCTCCTCCCGCCGTCCCCCAGACCCCTCCCGGGGAGTCTCCCCTTTCAGGCTTCTCATTGCCGGGCGCCCATCCCCGGGGCGCAGGGCGGCCCGCGGGCACCCTGGGGCTCACGGGGGCATTTGCTGCTCCAACACCGGCATCGCACCCCCGGGATTTCCCGCACAGGCGGCGGGGACGGCAGCAAACCCCGGTCCCGCCCCCAGCTCGGTATTTTTGTCGGGGAACGCGAGCAATCCACGAACTCCCCCCCCCTTTATTTTATAAAAGCCTCTCAATGCGCAAGGCAGTGGTTATTCCCCTTTCGGCCCCTTCCAGGGGTTATTCCTGAAGCCTGAGTGCAATAAAAAAATATATATATTTTTATTTATTTATTTGTTTTAACCCAGGGGTGATTTATCTGTTTTGCCTTGTTTTATAGCCAAGGAAACATGAGCTTTCCCCCAAATCCCAGACAGGGACTGAGCATACTCACTTTGCCTCCTGTCGCCTTGCATCTGGGGGGAGGGGGGGGAGTTCGAGGGGGGGCTGCGGGGGGAGGCGGGGGTGTCCCTTACTGGGCTGGTCCCACTGCCCTGAGCAGCGGATGCTGTAGCAAACGCTGGAGAGGTTTAAGCCTCTGAACACACCCTAACTCCTGGACAAGCGTGAGCTGGTGAACTGGGCAGGGGGGGGAAATGCAACAGAAAAGCATTTAAACGTGGCTAGTAACCACAGTAGAGTTATCATCTATTTAAACAAAAATAAACACACGCACGGGGGGGGGGGGGGGGGGGGGAAGGGAGGGAATAAAAAAATAAAAAGCATAAATGCAGATCAGTGGAAAAAAAAAAGAAAAAAAAAAGAAAAAAAACAACCAAAAAAAGGCAAAACAAAAACAAACAAACAAACAAACAATAAAAAAGACAAGCCAGGGCCTTTCAGGCTGGCTGGCTGCTCGGGGAAGACTGCAGCCGCTGCGGCTCTGCCTGCCCTAATTCCTGCCCCCAGCTCCGGCTGAGCATCTGCGGTCCTGGGGGGCCGCAGGGAGCCAGTTCCTTCCTCCCCCCTTGGCGCTGGGGGATCCCTCCTTGGCGATGGCTGCTCTCTGCCAGGCTTCACCTTTTAGCAGCCCGGCTGAGCCTTGGAGGTGGGGGCTGCTCCTTGCTCCCCTCTTGGGCTGCCCTCCAGCACGGCCATACTGAGCCAGCACTGATCTGAGGGGGTGGCGGTTGATTCTTGGGTTTGTTTTGTTTTTTGTTGTTTTGGTGTTTTTTTTTGTTTTTTTTTTGCTTTAAAGGGGAAAAAAAAAAAAAGGTCCCTTTCCCATCTGCTCCTGTTCAAAGGCTGTAACAGGGAGATGGAGCTGGCCTGTGCTGGGAGCAAAAGCTTCAGCCAGGACACAAAAACTGAGGAAAAGCTGGCTGGAGGATAGTGAGGGCAAACAGGTTGGTCCTTACAGAGGGAGCAGGGAGGGACGGTATAAAATTAAGGTGTAGTAGCCATTTCTTGCAAGACTTTCCAGTGGCTACGTCTATGCCCCAGAAGAAGCAGTGGCAGGGACTCTCCTAGACCTCTTTCTTTCCAGGGCCCTGTTTAAATCTGTGCAGTTGCTTTCCTGCCTAGTGAAATCCAGTAGGCCCTGTGAAAGACTGACAACCCAAGGAGATAGAGGCCAGTTCAGCCTTCCTGTTCATCAGGGCTGATTCATTAATAATTAGTGCCATTAGGTACACTACAGCAGTGCCTGAGGGCCCCAATTAAAGGAAAATGAGCTTGTTAAATTCAAAGCACCAAATTCTCCTTCTGTTACTCCTGCCTGATGCAGAGGTGGTGCCTCCAGGGTAGGCAGCAGGAATAGCCCTGGCTTTCTAGGTACGTAGTCTCTCTACCTTCCCCCTCCCTATTCTTCCTCCAGCTTTTCTCTCTCCTTCACCTTTGCTGTAGATTCTGCTTAGGGACTACTGCAAAGCATGGCCAGTGCAGGAGGTGGCTAGCAGGACTCGTGGGAGAAGGTGGCAAATCAGGTTATTTTTCAGAGCCACTTCATTCTTCATCACAGGGCAAAGGAGGGGGTTTGGATTTCTTTTTTTTTTTTTTTTTTTTTTGCAGGGAGTGGGAAAGTGATGGGGACTGCAGAGGAGTCTGTTACAAAATCAGATGCAATTTTAGCTGTCTGAAAGAGTTGCTTTAGGCTACAGGCAGCTGATGATCAATGGTGCTGTTGGCAAATATGCTTTCAGCTGGCTGCTGTCTCTCCTGAGGGACAGTTTCAGCCCAAGATCCATTGCAGTGGTGGTACGGCAAGGGATTTCATTTGCTTTGGGCTAAGGACCTTCTGCCGCCCAGTTCCACCAGTGAACCAAAGAGAAGAAAAGCTGGAGGTGATGAGGGAGAGACACAGCACTGTCATTGGTGAGTTATTTGCTGTTCCTTTCTCCTCAAATCCCCACGGTGGGTCTGTGTTAGAAGATCTTATGCAAAACCCTGTACTCTTGAGCTAAGGGTTTGCTAATGGATGATCAGGCTGTGCTGGTGTAGGCTCTGCCTTTCAGGAGATACTGCAGAAATAGGTTTAAATGATTCAGCTGATCAGAAACCTGGCCTATGGCCTCTACCCTAGCTTTTTAATTTTCATTGGTTTATTTTGTTTGTTTGTTTATCTCCTAAGCTGATATGAAGGAAAGATAGAAAGAGCCTGCTGAAGGTCAAGGCGAGCCTCACCATCAGTTCATCCGAATGTTGATATTCACCAGTAGAAATCCGTGCCCACAGGTACTGGAAGTCTCCTCAGCAAGAGAAACAACATTGCTGCAGGGGACAAACAACTAGTCCTGACCTTCTTTACACAGCCCTTCTCTGGGAAAAAGCATCCCCTGAAGTCAATATACATTCTGCCTAGGTAAGGGTTTCAAATGCCCAGCTTTGCCTCTGACAGGGATGCTATCCAAATATGAATTCCAGATTCATGCCACCAAAATATGAAGTGCCTGTGTGTGCATCGTACTTTGGGCCTCCAGGTTTCTTGCCTATGATATCAATTTACTAAAGACTGTGAAAAACTCACTAAATCTCTCAAGCATCAAAAATCAAATCTGCAGGGCACCTTTTTTTGCTGTGAATCAGTCAACTCAAGAGTGGATGGGCAGTGCATCCTTTAATACCACCAATTTTTATGACACTTTGGAAACTACTAGATATTCAAACTGATGCTCCCTGAGACAGGGAACAAAAAACCTAAACCTCAGACAACCAAACTGAAGAAAAAAAAAAAAAAAAAAGGAAGAAAGGAAGAAAATCATCACTGACATTGATAGGAATGGCTTTAATCAGATTTATTGCTCCTTAAACCATGTATTTTGCTGCAGACACTATCAGTAAGTTTACTACAGGACCGGCTTGGTACGTGATCTCATTTTGCCAAATGCATCTTTTCAAGAGTCACATCACATGCCTGGTACAGCATCTCTCTGTCAGAACTGCTAATAGCAATATCTTAAGTATGAGAAGTTTTGCAGTAAATTCATTGTTTGGTATTTATGCTCCTTTTAATTCATTTTGTTTCACTGGGTGGTAAAAGAGATCTTATCCATTCCTGTGCTCCTTTGGGGCACTTCCACTTTCCCAGTCCTCTGGCACAATCTGTCTTTGCAGAGGTATGATCCCTGTAAAGCCACTGCCCCATTTCACTTCCCATATTCCAAGAAATCCCTGAATTATGTTGCCAGATGAAAAATCCAGAACGTATCTTGTTAGCATGGAACATTGGTTGCATCAGTTTTACAGTGCCTCATTTGAGGATCCAATATGTCAGAAAATTGTCCTAAGTTTTGCTTTTTATTGAGGCTTAATAGGCACCCTTATCCCTTTTACTAGACCTGTGATGCAAGACTTTGTTTTGTTCTGTTGCCAAGACATTTCATTTGATCTCCCTCACCCTTACTTCTACTGTCTATTAAATGGGAGTAGCACTTTCAGAACTTTGGTGGTTGAAAAATGCTACATGAGGAGGTAGGCATTATTAATTAGAGTGATCTTATTTTATCTTTTAGCTTTCATCCGAAGAAAAACGTCTGGATTGAAATGGCAACAACAAATAATAGGTAAAGGATGCTTCCCTGTGGCTTCATAGATCTGCTGTGTAAGAGAAAACATTCAGCCCTGGGTGCACAAGAGTTGTGGTTCACGTCTCCCTCTGAAGAAGCCTCATTTTAAATAATGTTGTAGCATACCTACTGAATGCAGATGCTGCGCTGCAGGCATTTTGGGCAGTGAATTTCAGCCTGTGCCCTTGGCTAGGCTGTTGAGGACAAGTTCCAATACCCGTCCTTCTTTCAGAGATGCCAGTCCATCTTCAGCCATGTCGCTCATTGCTGGTGATCTCCCTGCTTTGCTGTGCATCAGAGGTTCATTTCATTCCCTTTTCTTTAGGTGTCAGTGATTTGCTCTCTCTCCACCTAAACCAGAGATCTGGCACATCAATACTTAGAAGGCTTAGGAGAAGATGAAAAGATCAATATTTCACTGAACTCACAAAGTTGCACAACTTCTCAGCCTCCATTTTAATGTCGGCTGTGGTTAGTTTGTTTTTTTTTCTGTAAGCTAAGTGATTTCAGCTTCTCTTTGAGTCCCACCTGTGTGAATATCTTGGTTTTCTCCATTGTTAACAAGGAACTGTGAAGAGGTTGTCCAGGCTCACTAGTCAGGCAGTACTGAGGTGGCTGACTTCTAGGAAAAGCCACAGCAAGAATAAGTGAGAGACAGCCTACGCACGGCTTTTGCTGGTCTTTAGCTTATGCTCCAACTCATGCTCATGTTAAACAAATGGCCATTAGCAATTGTAACAGACAAATGCAAAGAAAAACGAGCCAGATGCTTAGTCATGGAGCTGTGCTTAGAAATGATGGCCCGTTATAAGGCAGCTTCAGTGACTACAGCAGATCTGTGCCAGCTCACGGCAATTTAGGATTTGTTTTGCTCAAGTTAGTCTGTGGTCTGAAGTTTCTGATCTTGTCCTTTGTGTGAGCTAGATCATGCAAATGGGGGTGCCAGAGCCCCAAGGACATTGAGCAGAGTGCTGCATGAGTACTGGCGTGAGAAGGAGCAGCAATTAGCTCAAAATTCACGCTGCTGGCCTGTCATTTCCGAGCTCCCCCCCCCTGCTGCTCTGTAATGGGAAGACTTGCGCTCTAGAAGAAGGGGAGAAGAACATTTTGCTCATGCTCATATTAATCAAGTTGTCTTGTGAGCTGCTGAATCTGTGAAATTGTATCTCCCATGGTGTTCAGTGGTAATGGCAGTTTCCTATGTGGACTCTCTGGCGTCTAGTAATACAGTTGTGTTTCTGCAGTGGGTGCACTCCCAGGGTTTTTCTCCTATGCCCACCTACTTCCACAGCACTTGTAGGCAGCTCAAACCTTAGAGACTACCATCCCCTGTCAAGTTTGATCAAACTCAGTTCACAGGCTCAAAAAATTATTTAGGAGGGACTGACTGGCACTTGCACAGACAGTGTGATCTCATAAGCTTCCTTTCCTTGGGAAACTAGGCTACCAACCTAGCAACAGGGGAAAAAAAATGCCATCCTGCTAGCAGAAAGGACTTAAACACTGGAAGAAAAGAGGGAAGGTGGGAGAGGAAAGTAAAGCTGTTTTGAAGGGGAAAAAAATTCACTGCCTTGTGGCTGCAGATCTCCTGCATGCTTACAGGGCCAACCTTGGAGAGGCACACTGGAGAAAATATTCTCCAGAGGATGGCAAGATCTCTTGTGAAAATTAGTAAGGGAGAGATATCACCTGGATTCATCTCACCACCAGGCATCCTAAATGGCTATTTCTATGGTAAGGATTGTCTGCGGTGGTGCCTGTTTCTCTCCGCTGACTGGAGGAAGACACTGATGCAACTAGTGTCCAACCCATGTGCCTGCAGTGTCTGAAGTGAGGTGGGTCCTGTCCCAAAGGGAATGATTCTCTTACTGCTCTCTCCTTCAGGCCAAAGTTTTCTATGGTGCTGCTACAGGGTTTGATACTCCACGTACCATGTTTGTATTTTAGAAAAGCTGCTGTGTATCTGAATAGCTGCAGATGTATGCATGGTTATACCGGGCATTTATAAGCACTTATCCTCTGTGCACTAAAACCTTTCCTGTCCTTGTAACTTACAAAATAAAATCCTTTAAGTGAGCTTTAATGATTCTAGTACTACTTCTTTACAAATTAGAGAGCTGTCATCCTGTTTTTATTTGATATCACACAATGTTTGAGGCTGTCAAAAGTATTATAGCACATACTCATATAAATTGATATTTAATTTCAGTAATTACAATGTCACTAATTGTATTTTTACACCTGATGCAATTACTGACATTCAGCTCTTGAGCTCTGCTTTGTTCTTTCTAGATTTAGGTGTTCCTTACTCTTTAATCTTCCCACCTACAGTAGATCTTACACACAATGAAGCTCAGAAATAAAGCTCAGACCTTCCCATCAACAGCTGTGTGCCAAATGCACAGGGTAGTTTGAAACTCTGGGTGTACCCAGAGTGGAAGATATGCTCAGCACGCCACGCCCTATTGCTATGCCATTTTTATGAGTCTTAGAGAGGGTTGCGTTATCCAAATGTTGCACAGTGCTTAAGTGCTTGTACTTGCCTATTGCTAAAAGCCTTGCATTTGCAATTTTTAGAGGGCTTTTTTTTTTTTTTTGCTTATAGCCTTTCACTTAACATACCCTGGGGCTGCTGTGGCAGCCTCTTGGCCTGGTATCTCAATGCTCTTCTCCTTATGGCCTTGTACTGGTGCATTTGTTGCGTCGTATTCCATGAGAAAGGGCTTGCTTTCTACATCTCAGCCATCCTTCTGTCCTATTCTCCTCTACCTTCTCATTGCCTTGCTGTCAAGTTATAATTTGTATGCTGCACTGAGGTTCCCACACCCTGACCACTGGGTGCCTCTAAGACTGATGACTCCATATTAGAACAAATATGCCAGATAATGGGTAAATAATAGTAATTTTCATATATGATAAGTATTACCTAATTACAGATGTGCACAAGGCTTAGCAGCCAACTAGTGTGCAACATTTTTACCCAATTAAGCATAATCCAGTTAGTGCCAGTGTTGTCATCAGACAAAGGTCACTGAAAGGCAACTTGATCATCCTTTAATGAAGGGTATAATTTTACTAGGGGAAAGTTATAGCGGGGGGTTGTTGAGATGACTGTGATCCCCTGCTGCACTGGAGCGGGCACCCAGGAGGGGACGTTCACCTGAGGGCTCCTGACTACATCCCTTCTTGGCTGGCCACTGGGTACAATTTCCCTTTTAACTTCAAACTTGGTGTATGCCATCAGCTACAAAACCAGTGAACAAAGCGTGTGCTTTGTGCATGTCGACCTGCCTCAACTTTCTTTGTGTTAAAGTACAAAGTAAGAAATTATCTGGGCCATAGCTCTGTCCCAGTAGAGTTTAAGGTCAGTGATCCCTCTTCTCAAAGACCCATTGGCCTTTGGGTTACAGTCCACACAGAAACTTGTTTAGGTTCAATTTTGTGAATAGAAATCCTTCAGTGGACAGTCCATCTTTATTATTATTCCCATACGTCAATATTATTACCATCTATTATGTCACTTAAGGTGTGGCTTTTATTATTTTAGCTTGAAAACTGTTCCCAACTGTCTTAAATTAAACTAAAATTAATTTAACCTAAAGGGAATGATTACCTCCCAGACAATTGTTGTGCTTCTCTCTGCTGCTAACAGTACATGGTGAAGCAAGGTTTCCTGTCCTATGACAGAGCCATGGCTGCATCCAGGCTGGAGTGTCCATGTGGCAATGAGCACTGACTTCACTCAGTCGTGATGTTTTAGCTCATCTACAAATCAAGCCCTCTGACTGAGTAACCAAATTCACCTCTTGGTACAAGTGTACATGGTCTATAAGCCAGAGCGTAACAGTGGTGCCTGAGCTGGGTGCCTGGTGAGTGATGAGGTACTATGACACTGGGCAGGTATTTTGCAAACTGCTGCTTGTACAGTTTTGCATAAACCCTTATGTTCCAGGTTCTTTGGATCAAAAATCAAGAGTTTTGCAGAGGTGCTACTTTGGAAGAAAAAAATCTAAGACAACCGGAAAAGGTAATTTGCACTGAGGTGCCTGGAGAACTCAACCTTAACAGCAAGGTAAGTAACCTAGCAGAAGACCTACATCCCTTAAAACAAACACAACTGAACAAAAAAAATTTGACCTTACACCTAGACACTCACTGCCCAAACATCCCAAGCAGTGTCTTTGCACAGGCAGTCAGGCAGCCATCAGAAACATGGCTCATGTCTAATGCCTTACAAATAATCAGTGAGGTTGATTCCATACCTCCTTACCCTCTGTTGGCGCTGCACTTTCTTCACTGTCAAAGATATCTTTCTCCTAAGCTTAACCTGAATTTTCCAGCTTTAGAGGGGACTATGAACAGGTTGGCCAAACATCTACCAGGCTCGACATGGACCAGCCATTTATAGCATGACCTCTTGGTGGGCCTTTCCAACTCTCTTTCATGGCTTTCTAGCATTCCAATGTGATAAATGAATAACTACAGGTAAAATATTTGCTCTTCACAGAACATGTGCTTTTATTGAAAAAAACCCAATATTATCTGGTCATCAATCATTACCACCACTGAATTTATGCAAGTATTTGCTGACCAGTATAAAACCAGGAAGTGTCAGCTGTTTTTCTGAAGTCTTACTGGGGCAAAGATGTCTAAACAAATACATGAGGTTGCTCTCACACTGCAAAGTCAGCATATATTACTTTGGGTTCAGAGAGATGGAAGAAATCCCAAGACATGAAGCTGTGCTGGACATCTGCACACAGCCTGACAAGAGTGTAAAACAATCAGCACCAAGACAGTTAGCAGTATTATGCTTCAGAGTTAACCCAACCTTAGATACAGCTGTGCAGGGAGGGGGTGTTACGAGGAAGCCAGTGAGAGATCTTGTTGACATTTGGTCTAAAACCTGTCTAAGCCTATTATTCCTTGGGGGACATCTTATGCTAGTTGGAGACAAGAAGTGAAAACCATTTTCCACTCTTGGGGCCAGCATCCCCAGGCTGATGCCCGTGCAGGAGAAGCAGGGAGCTAGCTAGCATGCTCAGAGATGTGCAAGGTGTGTGCCTCCTCCAGAGGCGTGTCAGCCACCGGCTGCTGCTGACTTATTTCTCCACTGATGAGTGTTAAGAGCTTCCATGTGTTTACGCAATGTTAGCAAATACTCCAGCCCCTTATGTGCCAAGGGGGTACCAGAATAAAAGCTGCTTTGGTAACAGCTTAGGTACCCATCCCTACAGGCACAGCCCTCCTCAGGCTCTGGCTCCCTTCTTGCCTGGTGGCATCCATCCTCTAGAAGTTCAGAGAAACATCTGTAATCCAAGCGCACAGGTAGTTGGTCTCTCTCAGCTCCTGGTTTGAGCAGAAGGAAAGTCCTCTCAGTCAGACTCACCATGTTCTCAGCTGGTCACCCTTCTCTCTCATGGCTTCTCTTTTGCAGCATACCCTTCCCCAGTAGCCTTATAAACTGTATTCCCCTCACCAACCATAACTGTGGTCATCTGAGATCTCCAAATGTCAAGCCTTATCCTAGGGTCAGTGCCTCCCAGCACCACATCCTAGAGAGCTGATGGACTCTCAGAACAGGGAGCAGATTATAAGGCAGTGGGGCTTTAGTGTTATTACACTGTGACTGGCAGATTTCTGTATCTCAGGTTACTTACAGGAGCTGCTTCAGAAGAACAAGGTGTAGGAGGAAACAGTCAAGAGGAAAAGGCTTACCTTAAATATTTCCATACAGTGTACAGGAAAGCTGCTTGGTGACAGCCAGGGCTTGCCACAATTTTCTGTATAAACAGCATTTGGCTTTAGCATGTGGACTCGAGCATCTTGCTCAGAGGAGCCAGAGTCAAAATTGACCTGCACACACTCTGCATTTGACACTGCAAAAAGAAAGTCCTTGGGCCTCTGGAGCACTGAGATGGAGCTTTAAGTATGCATTAAAGGTCAGACAGCAGCTTTGGCAACTCATTTTAGCTCTTTTCCTCTGACAGGTTCCTAAAATGGGCTTAGTCTCTGGATGCACCTGTTAAAGTGTATAGCACACACAAAATCTTTTATGATCATAAAAGTAGAGTTCCACGTCACATTATATCTTTGGAGAAATATAGCTCTGGAAAACAAATATAGAGCAAAAGAATACACTGACTGCAGCTGGGAGTATTGCATTTGATAATGGAGATGGCCATATGAAAGCTATCTGAGGAATACACAGAATATATATTCCATGTATTATTTTCCAGGTCAGTGAAACTCCCAATACACAATGCAACTATCAGGAAGTTTCCTTGGATTTGTGGCACTGATGGAAATTCTGAGTCTCTCTGGGCTTGATTTTCAAAAATACCAGATCTTCTCAGTTCCCAGTGTTATCAACTGGAGCGGGGGCTGCTGATCTGCAAGCTTAAGCAAAGGTTGAGTCAGAGACCTTGATACTAATGAAATATTTTGTTCTTAGCCTGCTGTGCAGATATAGGTCAGCTGTAGCTTTTAGTCCCATGTCTTAACTGCCTCAGGATTGGATTGATGGGAAGGTTATTTTCAAAATAAAAAAAAGTATTAACGATCATGTAGAAAAGAAAACTGTGAAAATAGTCTTAGGCCATTTTGGGTGTGTTTTCTGCTGTATCCCACCACCTTTAGCTGTCCTCCCTGAAATGCAGGCTTGGTTGTATGCGCTTGTATTCTCTGAAGCTTGTTTTTGTTCGCAGGCTTAGCCAGACTCCCTTAGGTAGTGTTTTTTCACTTGCATCACCAGACAAATTCTGACACAGCTCTTCAGCAGGCAGAGGGGCTTGTTCTGACTCTCCCCTGCAATCAGCCGATGGGGCAATGCCAGATAATGAGGTCCGCAAGCAAGTTTCAGATGAGAGGCTGCAAATTATTCCTCAAGAAGATTATCCTCCTGTTCTCCCTGCACTTGTCACCCCACACCCCAAAACTCTTCTGCCAGCCTGCCTCTGAAGCCCTCCCCCCACTTCTGTGCCCTCTCTTGGATGCTCAGCTCCCCAGGACAGGCTGAGCCCTGGTGACGGATGCAATGGGGCCTCGTGTGCACAGCAGGGAGGGAGTGACCCTCA